GAAGTCCAGGAGCTCGTCCTGTTTCCAGTCAAACTCCCCTAGTGGGGTGGTGGCGCGCCTGTTATCCCAGCACTCAGGTTGAGACGGGAGGATCACTGCCCGTTTGGGGGCTACAAAAGGGAGCACAAGGCCAGCCCGAACTGCATAGTGAGCCCCTTTCTCAAAAAAAAGAAGTCTCCTACCTTGTTCTTCTGGCTTACAGCCTCGTTCCTCTGTGGTAGGAGACCACAGACCTGCTGTGTTCAGTAGCAAGGTCATGATGCCTTTGGGAAGAGATTGCAGAATCCAGTTGCAAACTATCACCATCTGTAGGAAGGTACAATTTTTTTAAAACCTGCTTGGAAAAAAAATCACTTCTTGAGGTAGTGAAGCTTTGCCTGTATTAAAGGTAGGCAAGGAAACATGCTTCCCAGAGCAAGTTGGGCCAAGTAAAGATAGGAAAGGACATTCCACAGGTGGGGCAGGCTGCTGGGAAGGAGGATGAGGTGCTAGGAAATGATTGGTTGTGTTAAATAATGAGCTTTTGTATTTTAGGGAATGGTCTACAGGGTCTCACTGCTAGATTGGACTCAGTGATTCTCCTATTTGCAGCCTCCCAAGACCTGGGATTACAGGCACGTGCCATCACGCCCAGTCTCAACTGCCCCCAGTCTCAATTGTCTCAGCACGCCCAGAGGGTGGGGCCAGCACTGCAGGCCTGGGGTCGAACCCCAGCCCCTGAGCCTGCTTGCAGGTGCTTTAATCCGCTGAGCTATTTGGCCAGCCCAAATAATAAACTTCTGTCTGAGTGTTGCTGTCACAAGTGTGTCCTGCCGGGGTTAGTGGCATGCACACACACACCCCCCTGTCATCCCAGGTCCTGGGGAGGGACTAGTAGGAGATGGGGAATGTGCAGCCCGCCACAGCAGTGAGGCCAGAACTTGTCTCAAAACAGTGTTTCCATTTAGTAAATGAGATGCAGGAAATATACACTGCACATTGTGTGTGTGTGTGTGTGTGTGTGTGTGTGTGTGTGTGTGTGGTGCTGGGGCTCGAACCCAAGGCTTTGTGCATGCAAGACAAGAGCTCTACCATGGAACCACATCCTCAGCCCCACACACTTCTCAGAAGTAAATATTAGACTTGTTGCGTGGACCATGCATCTTGGTGAGCGTCAAATTACAAGCAGCAGGAATGCAGCTGTT